AAAGCACCACCTCCTGATGGTCCGTTACATTCAAAAGCAGTGGAAAAAATATAATGGTGAAAAAAGTAGAACGAAGAATTCTCCAAGGTGATAGCCTTTCTCCGCTGCTATTCGTCCTGTTCATGGATATCTGTTGAGCCGTCGGCTCAATGTAAGATATCCAAAAGTGGTGGTGAACAAGGAATGCACATTACGAATTTTCACTTGTTTGTGGATGATCTCACTGCGACCGATGAAGATATCATGAAACCTATGGTAGGAGTTTAAAGGTTTCTTGATGTGATGGGACTAGAAGTAAATTCAGCAAAGTCAGCCACTAATACCGAGGTATCCGCTGATAAAGTGGCGCTACTGGAAGGAACTCAAGATACAAATCCCTTGAAATAGTGGAAGGCAGGACTCGTGCACCTACCCGTGAAAGCTACGATAAAGTACGTGCAGAGATTTTAGTGAGAATTGAGCCGTTAGCCAAAACTGCACTAAATGGCAAAAACTTTATCAAAGCGATGAATGAGCACGCCATAAGCTAATAAATCATTAAGTCGTGGTGCTCAAGCTGGAGCCGGAAGACTTCAAGGTTATAGACCACGATATCAGACAGTTAGTAATCAAATACGGAATTCACAAGCAACCTGCACGCTTGGAAAGACTGCACCTGCCAGGGGACGAGATAGCATGTGGACTTCATAGTGCTGGGCAGAAGAGTGAGCTTAAGCTTCTCCACCCACCCAATTGTACCAGAAGGGCAGGATTCTGAAGCAAGAAAAGACTCACAACACTTATTTGGCAGTTATTGTGCCCTACGTTCAGACCAGATACAACCTTATAGAAAATCCAATCATCGAAAGCGTATTAGCAGCTCAGAAAGCAATCCTGTATAGCGAAATAGAAAAGAAAACTCGACATGCAAAGCTATACAAAGTACGCAGAAATGAGCTAGCCTCATCAATGTGGCTACGATTTGGAAATATTATTCCACAGGATGAAGCGCGATACTGTCAACTCCAAGACAGAAATATGTTTGGAGCTGAAAAAGGTATGTGCCAACATTGTAGGGAACGTGTGAAGACGGTAGACCATCTAGCAACGCAGTGCGAAAAAAATGTTACATCACGACTATACTAGAAGACACAATGAGGTCCTACGATGCATCCACATGGGTTTTTGCAAAAAGTATGGTCTGAAAGCATTCCCGCGCTTGCAAAGCCATTCTGTTCAGGAGGTCGTCGCGAATGAGAATGTTG